CTCGTTACACTCAAAGTCAACGTTTCAAATTGTTCAGTGTACTCTCCACCTCCTACTTCTGGCCTCTTCATTAGTTTCCCTTCTACGTCACATAATCAATATTCTTTAATACAATGTACGATTGAGTTTCAGACCCTTAAACCGAATCAACATCTTTGAATCAAAAGCTTTTCAAAAATAGTTTTTTCAAATGCGGTTTGTGGTGCTGTTGTACTGCTAATATTGTATTATGTTGAGGGTACTAAATATTAGAAACAGTTGTCAGTATAAAATAAGACACATCTAACAGCACCACACACTACATCCAAAACTGAACAATAGATGTATGTTTAAATTATACATCTCTGTCATGACTCTAACATATTTGATGCTATTTTAGTATTATCTTCCGTCTCTTTCATCTTGTTTTTGTCCGCTGGTGTTGAACTATATTTAGAAATCCTTTGCTGATCGTTTTTTCATGTACTTTTTCAAATTTATTATATATATATATTTCTTTTTAGCTTTGGCTGTTATTGTGCCCAATTGATTTATTATTACACATTTTTAGATTATAGCGATTTAAACTCTATTAATGCTTTTTTTCTAATTCTGTCAGTTTTCACTGTCAAATAAATTGGGAAATCCTACACTAAAATCTTCCCCCCTTACTCATAGCGTGATTGTGAATTCAGCCAGTAAAAGTTGTTTTATGTTCAAATGTCCGTGGAATTATTCTATAACATCACCTGCATTCGCCTGATTCATTTTACAATATACACTAATGAAAATGCAATCACGTCATTTCACAACATATTTTCACCCTAACTGCAGCCTGCGCGTGCCTTGCATCAGTATTCACGTAACGTAGAGCCCAACATTGCCGTAAACCCATTTTCCAAACCTTCTTTAAGTTAATTTCAGCTGCCTCTGCCCGGGAGGAAGCGAGGACGATGTGCTGAATGTTTAGAAACGTTTTCAACCCACTGTGAAGAGGACAACCACACAACACCACACAGTAAACACGCCCAGGGGTATTCTCCTCTCAATGACAACCATAACGCAGAAACACACTTATTGTAAAGTCATTTTAGCATCCATGCGCAACACTAGCTTCCCCATAAATCAATGATGATGGTGTTGATATCAGCACTTCAGCCATCTGCTCTGACAATATGAGCACTCTGTGTCACGCACAAAACACTGCTGCCATTTCCCATAAGAGAGCAGGAAACCTTCTGGAAACAGACCTATCTTCTGTGTCACCATCGTTATGATGAATGTGTTTTTGTGTTTACACCATCTTTAATCTCAATTTGCCGCTTTGTTTAGTGCTCCTTTGTGTGCATGTATCTTTTACCTCTCGCTTTTCTTTATCTTAAATCAAAGAAATTGCACTATTCACTCCTATTTCTTCATATCACGCTTGTACAAGTATAGTCCTCTCTGCCGTAAAAGATTCAACATAGTGATTTTTCGGCCTTTTTTCCGTCTCAGGCAGCAGCATCTTCACACTTTCTGTCCCTCCATCGAGCCAGCTGAAGCGTTAAAACATGTATTCTTCTCCTAATCCTTTTTATATAGCCAGTTGGAGAAATGGAGTGTTTTGTCCCCTTTTTTCTTTTCAGTTTCGTCTCTGCGTTTCATCATTCGTCTGTTGCTTTTGTTTGTCTTTGGATTGGGTGTTGTTCTTCGACTCCACTTGTTCTCTCCCTCCTCTCAGTCTGTCTGTTTCTGTTTTTATACATAGGCGTGTGTGTGTGCAAGCCTCAAGTATTATTTCTTTGTCTGAGCTGTCAGTGTTTCAGCAGCCAGCAGCCATCTTTTCTTCTATTTAGATCAAATGACACTTTAACCAAGTGTCTCTTTGCCTCCTTTCTATCCTTGTTTTACCTCTCTATCCATATCATCTGTATCTGTCTGTCTTTCTTCATCCAGCCACACATCTCCCCCTTTCTCAAAACAATCCAAATGTAATCTACAGTATATTGAATAATCTGTACAAAAACAAAGTACATGTTGCAACCTGTGTCATCAACCACATCAGGACAGGACATTCATTTGTCTTTTACAAAGGCCAAAAGAACCATACATTTCCATCCCCAAGGCCAAACTCCGGAGTTTCGGGGATAGAGCCTTCTCTGTGGCAGCCCCGAAGCTCTGGAACTCCCTCCCCTAAGACCTCCGTGAGTCTGATACCTCATTCACACCAACGGTGTTTCAGGGCCGGTTCGGAGCTACAGCTTGAAAAGCACCGGGTTTTCCTCTTCACACCGCAGCGGAGCAGCCTCTTAGCTCCGGAATCCGGTTCATTTCGAGCACCAAAAAATTGTCCGGCCAGAGCAAAAGCACCACATACGTCACGCTTACGTCGAGGCGGGGGCAGGGGCAGAGGCGGGATCAACTCTTGAACAACAACAAAAAGCCGCGCCAGTTTGTACACAACGATGGAGAAACTTAACAAGCAACGTCCACTGAAGAGACCAGCTACCTACTGGGAATCTGGTCTTCTGAAGAGGCACAGAGGAAGCTGGAGCACAATCGGCCATTGTTGTTGTTGTCGGTGTCAGCTGTGAGGGGTTTTCCGCACGATTTAATATAAAACATAATACTTTTTTTTCTCCAAATGGTCAATCATCAATGGTGGAACAATCATCCTGAACTGATTATGTGTAATAATCAGATTGAACTTGACCTTCTCACACAAGTCAACTGGAAAATGTCCATATTTTCACAGTCATTTCAGAAGTGGACGCTCTTGGACGTTATAGTTGTCCATAAATAGGGATTCCAACAGTTGATAGTTTAGGCGCCGGGAAGCAAAGCGCTTTTCTTTAAACGTTTCGCACATCAACCACACACTCACAAAGACCATGTGTATTCAACAAGTGTTTAAACTGTCATCTTGTATGAATGAAAACCACTGAGATTTGTCAGGATTTCTTTATTTCAGTCCAGCAGTTGGTGGATCAGAAACACGTTACATTGTCAGGGAAACAAGAAGAGTTTTCAAATATGTAGGAAAAAAGGAACAAACCCCCCCGATCAGGTGTGTCTGTAAATCTGTGTTAAAGCCTGAGACAAAATACAAGAAGCTGTACCTGTTTACGTAAATGAAGACTGCAGTTGTTTTGCTTCTGTTTCTCACCATCAAAGACCTCATGTGGTCCAGTAATCTTCAGAGGATTGTTAGCACACAAAGCAATGATTAATCATAACAGTGTTAAGCCATGTGATTCAGTCTTAATGTTTCTTATTTATTAACCATGTTGAAATTAATTGGTTCGATTAAAGGTCACGTTTAGCCTCGAGGACAGCATGAAATTACACAGCACCCCTCTGATGTTAAATTAAACACAACACAGATTCAGCATCCTACTGTTAATTTGATCTTCTTTCCAAATTATAGTATTTTTTTTAAGCTTTAAAATGTTTCCATTGATCCTAGATAAAATGCCAGAGATATGAGGAGAGTACTCTTTGCACAGTGAATTATTTATACCTATGGGTCAGACTGTCTGACTCTTACAGCTCTCTTTCTTAAACATAACATTTATACGGGTTTATTGTTGACCTGTGTGCGGAAGTCAAATCAACGAAAAGCCAAAGTCTGTCACAGATAATGGGGTATTTTTATATTTAGTCAAACTTGACCTTTTATTTGTTCATTATACAGCTGGTCCGACACCTGAAAACATCTCACATTTCTCTGGCATTGATGAAGATTGATGCAAGCGTAATGTTGATTACAAGGAGTTAGCGAAATGGAAAACAGTGTTAATAATTTTTACAAATGGTAAATACTAAAGAAACATGTTTATGGGAATTCAAGAGACTTTTAAATTAGAACCACTTAATATTCAACCACCAATTAGATATCATTATGTAGGAACACATTTTATGTTTGCCTCATGAGTAAATGGGTTTGATATTGCACAGCAAACTATGACATACTGAGTGTCATTTCAGATATCTATTGGTTTTCCTTTATTACTTTTCCCAGCTGGAGCAGCATTGTTTTTCTTGGAGTCCAACATTTTGCACATAATATGTTACGGTAGCCTTTATTCCAGGTTCATTTTTGTACTCCTATCATTTAAGATGTCTACCTTCTTATTACAAAATTAAAAGATGGCAAAGTCAGTGTGAAGCCTTTCCATTATTAGTTACCAGCTTCATTTAGGTGTGTTTGTGTGTGTGAGCATGTGTGTGTGCGATGTTTGTACATATGTGTGTGTGTGTGTGTGTGTGTGTGTAGCTTGCTGTGGAGAAAGTCCAATCAGCAGAAGTATGGCCAACCGCCTGCAGCCAGCAACAGAAATAAACTGAGCCATTTTGTGTGTGTGTGTGTGTGTGTGTGTGTGCGTGCGTGCGTGCGCGCTCGCGCGCGTGTGGGGGGGGGATTGTTCTTTAAACTAGACATCTGTTGCCACCACCTCTTGTGTCTGTCCGCCTGTCTGTCGAGAGCCTGCAGAGTTGGCCTGGTTTATTTTGCACACACACAAACACACACTCACTCCAACACTAAAGCCTTAGAACAAAAACATCCGACACCATCATAAGCTTCAACCTATTGATTTCATTAACGTCATATTTTATTCAGAAGGAAGAGGGAACATATTGGTGTGAAGTTAACATGTGTATTGTCCAAGTTGAATGCACACACACACACACACACACACACACACACACACACACACACACACACACACACACATACACATACACATACACATACACACACACACACGTGGCAGAGTATACATGATGGACTTGATGTGCCTTTCATGATTCATCCCAGTGAGATGGAGCTTCAATGGAAAATGTCAACTTTAAACCGAGATTAAACGGAATCACTCAGAAAAGCTGGTGTGTGTGTGTGTGTGTGTGTGTGTGTGTGTGTGTGTGTGTGTGTGTGTGTGTGTGTGTGTGTGTGAGAGTTTCAGTCTGGTAATATAATACCATTAAATTCATTATAGTTTCTTTGGCAGCAAATAAAAGACAGTCTCTCTTCCTGTCTTTGTCTCAAAGTTCTGATTACGAAAAAAGCCTATTGCCAACAACACACTTTCATAGATTATTATTATTATTACTATTACATTGCATTTAGCTGACGCTTTTATCCAAAGCGACTTACAATAAGTACATTCAACCAGGAAAATACAACCTTGAAGAAAACAGAATCATATAAGTACATCAGGTTTCATAGAGCCAAACATTTCAAGTGCTACTCAACTGGCTTTAGATAAGCCAGTCCTTTATTATTATACAAGTGCTTTGTTAGCAGTTCTTTGTTAGTAATTCTATCGCTCAAAGAGTATGAGTTTTTAGTCTGCGCCGGAAGATGTGCAAGCTATCTGCTGTCTTGATTTCAATGGGGAGCTCATTCCACCATTTTGGAGCCAGGATAGCAAACCCACGTGTTTTTGCTGATGGGAAATTGGGACCCCCTCGCAGTGCGGGTGCAGCGAGCTGTTTGGCCGATGCAGAGCGGAGTGCACGTGCTGGGGTGTACGGTTTAACCATGTCCTGGATGTAGGAAGGGCCAGATCCATTCGCAGCATGGTAAGCAAGTACCATTGTTTTGAAGTGGATTCTAGCAATAACTGGAAGCCAGTGAAGGGAGCGGAGGAGCGGAGTGGTGTCGGAAAATGTTGGAAGGTCGAAGACCAGACGAGCCGTTGCATTCTGGATGAGCTGCAGAGGTCGGATGGCACATGCAGGTAGACCAGCCAGGAGGGAGTTGCAGTAGTCTAGGCGTGAGATGACGAGAGCCTGGACCAGAACCTGCGTTGCTTTCTGGGTCAGGAAGGAACGTATCCTCCTGATGTTGTAAAGAGTGTATCTGCAGCAGCGGGTTGTTACAGCGATGTTTGCAGTGAAGGACAGTTTGTTATCTAGGGTCACACCCAGATTCCTTGCAGTCTGAGTCGGGAAACAATACAGAGGGCCCAATGTTGATTGTTAGGTCAAGAGTGGGACAATCTTTTCCCGGAAGGAAAAGCAGTTCAGTCTTGTCAAGGTTGAGCTTGAGGTGATGAGCACACATCCACTAAGAGATGTCAGCTAGACAAGCAGAGATGCGTGCGACGACCTGGGTCTCTGAGCGGGGAAAGGACAGAATTAATTGGGTGTCGTCAGCGTAGCAGTGGTATGAAAAACCATGCAGGCTAATGACAGATCCGAGCGAGTTTGTGTACAAGGAGAAGAGGAGGGGACCAAGGAGTGCTAGAGCTAGCACGTCGCGAGCCTCATCGTGATTGGTCATCCCTCGATTGTTTTTCCCAAGGCGAAGCCAATCTATAGATCGGGCTAGCCTCCTCTCAGCACAGAGAGGTGCAATTACTATGCTTCACCAATCAGCACATGCCTAGGAGGGCATTGAGGTCCAGGCAGAGCGTCTGCTAGTTAAATCAACTCCCCGATGCGCTGAAAGAAGAAATAGGTGAGGGGGACCGCAGGCCTGCCGGTCCGGGAATAGAGCTACCGAGGAGCGCACGACGCTGCTCCGTTCTCTGTCTGTCTCTGTCAGATGTTAGGTAGAATGGGAGACTGTATAAGAGCCGGCGTGACCTGATACGCAAAAACAGGGGAAGCCTGGGCCTTCCCTTGGCCTCCGCGCACGCCCACTAAGTTCAAGGGATAATTTCTCACCACCTCTTCCCTGCACTTGAGTGCCAGTTGAGCTGTTCTTCCACCAGCGGGCGACGTCTGTCCTCATCTGAACGCAGGAGGCTGGCGTATACTCTGACCTGGGTCGTCATTCTCTTCATCATCTGCACTTTGTGTTCTAAGCTGCTGCTGATAGTGCTTGTAGCAGCGCTGGCCAAAAGGTCTGTCCAATTTGCGACATGCATACTGCTCTCACCTGCGAGTGACTTCACCTTTTCTTCTCTTGCCTTCTCGGCCCCACCTTTTTCTTTTCGTTTTCTTTGATTTTTATCCATGTTTTTTCATTCTCCCTGTCTGCCGCGGCGTCTAATCCCTTCTCTTCGTGTGGCCGGTCTTTTTTCTTCTTCGTGTGTGATTATTTGAGAGATAAGAACCACGCAACTGCATTAGCTGCAACTTAAATGATGACGTTAAACAATTTTTTTTTTAAAGGGCCGCCCGGCCGTGAACGGCCCTTGACGACCGGCCGTTCTGTGGTTCTCCAGATTCTACAGATGGCCAGTCCGCCCCTGAGTGAAGGACAGTTTGTTATCTAGGGTCACACCCAGATTCCTTGCAGTCTGAGTCGGGGGAACAACAGAGGTGCCAATGTTGATTGTTAGGTCAAGAGTGGGACAATCTTTTCCCGGAAGGAAAAGCAGTTCAGTCTTGTCAAGGTTGAGCTTGAGGTGATGAGCAGACATCCACTGAGAGATGTCTGCTAGGCAAGCAGAGATGCGTGCGACGACATGGGTCTCTGAGCGGGGAAAGGACAGAATGAATTGGGTGTCGTCAGCGTAGCAGAGTTATGAAAAACCATGGCTAATGACAGATCCGAGCGAGTTTGTGTACAAGGAGAAGAGGAGGGGACCAAGAACAGAGCCCTGAGGGACCCCTGTAGTTAATTGACAAGGATCGGACTCGGACCCTCTCCAAATTACCCTGTAGGTGCGGTCTTTGAGGTATGAGGTGAGGTGGGAAAGTGCAGTGCCTGAAACTCCAAGTTTTTGGAGAGTGCAACGGAGGATCTGATGGTTCACCGTGTCGAATGCAGCAGACAGGTCCAAAAGGATGATGACAGAGGAGAGGGATGCTGCTTTAGCAGTGTGCAGTTCCTCAGAGACAGCGAGGAGAGCAATTTCTGTGGAGTGACCTGCCTTGAAACCAGACTGGTGCGGATCCAGAAGGTTGTTCTGATGGAGATAAGAGGAGAGTTGTTTAAAGACAGCGCGTTCAAGTGTTTTAGA